TTGGTGAATAGATAACTTACTTGTCCTGTTAAAAACAGGCAAGGCTCACATTGAGCAAGGTGCACAGCTCAGTTGGAGAACATTTGCCTAACATGAGCAAAGTCCAGGTTCAGTCCCTTGCAGTGCAAGAATAAATACACTAAATTAATTAAGTTTTTGAAAAGAAAATGTAGACAGGGTGACCTGAAAGTTTGCCTTATTTTTTTTCTCAAACACATTCATTCAGTTCATTGTGCAAATATCTTTCTGTTCTTTTAAAGTAAGCAGTCTGACAAGATCTGTAAATACACTTGGTCAGCTAATGTGGGCTATGCTTTCTTAAGTGCCAGCTAAGGAAGCCCAGGCTGCATTTTGCTAACCAAGTTCTAGTACATAATAATATTTTAATCAGCCACAAAGAGCAATAAGAGATCTGACCATGGGGCTGATAACTGTCTTATCTCACCCTGGGAAACCTAGCTCTAATATTTGACAGAGCCACCGTTACTTGGCAGCCCATTCTAAGAAAGCCCAACAATGGAGAGGGGAGTGGAGGGTGCAGAGCCTCCGTATCTACATAAAAGAGATTAGAGGCGACAGCGTTCCATTTTACAGCTCAATCATATTGTGTTAGCATGCGCTTATCCGAGCGCGGACGAAATTGAAAGAGAAATAAAAAAGAGCCAGGCAGATAGGAACCAGAAAAGCAAGGCATGAGCAATTTCCAAGGGTATAAAAGGATGCTAATGGCGGGGCCCTGTCATTCTTAAAAAGGGCTATTAGGGCACCATCATCTGTTCTTGTGCCCTTATGCTCCTCCAATGAAAGTCAAGCGTTTTCCAAAGCCCTTGTGGTCTTTTTTCTTCTGTAGATAAAGTGTGGTCATGTTTCATAACCACCACACTTTCCCATTGATGTGATATATTAATGTAAGCCAACTAATTCTATTTACTGATAAAATCCTTTACTCCATATGTATTTTGCTTCAATATATTTTGGTAGAATTCTTCACTTTTCGAGGCTGAGGCAAGTGTACAAAAGCAGATGCAGAGCAATGAGGAGGGCTGCTGCTGATCTGATCTAAGATTCAGAACTTCTAGTATGGTGGGACTATACACAAACTAAGAACAAAGGCTTCGATTTTAGTGTGTGCATGCAAACGAGTGTGTGTGTGTGTGTGTGTGTGTGTGTGTGTGTGTGTGTGTGTAAGTTGACTTCCATTTTAACATAAGTGCCATAAACGCAAAGTTCTAAAGTTAAGTTAAAGGGAAATTTCAGTTCTGATCTGGCTCCCACTCCACTCATTAAAAGCACAGTTTTACATGTGATTCTGATCCTAACAATCTCCTGGCCTCTGCTTCCCCAGCCCATGCCCCACACAATGGACTGTGGTTTTCTGACACCCATGAAGCGAGCATACCTTGACATGGCAGTGTCCTCTCTGACTACCTCCTAACTCTGTATGACACGTGTTGTTAAAAAAAAATTAAGAAGGATTTCAGTTCATTTTTGTTTTGCTAATCCCTTTCTGAAAGCTGTCTTTCCTTTGTAATCATTTAAAATACCCTGGGGCCATCGGGAACATTGGAGCTGTGAGCTCTCTTGCCACAGCGACCTGCTCCTCCTTTTACCAGGGAGAATAACCAGTTCTCACCAGACCCAAGCCTCTGCTTACAGCTGAGTGCATAATCGCACAATAATTGCTCCACCACTGGGAAAGGCTTTACTCATAGCTATTTGAAGCAACCATCTTCACAGAAGTAACCCAGCCCATGACTCTCTCACACTCGCCTGCAAACTCCATTTCTACTTAAAAACAAAGACTGCAAACTCACCCCTGACTTTACCTTATCCCAAGTTTGTGGTGGAGTTGCTGACTGCTTTATTACTGTTCTTTATTATAACAAGTCTAGATGGCATCAAGATACTGCCTTAAGGAGCCAAGCATGCTGGCACATGCCTTTAATGCCAGCATTTGGGTGACAGAGGCAGGCGGATCTCTGTGTGTCTGCATAGTGAGTGCCAGGCCAGTTGGGGCTACAAGGAGACCCTGTTTCAAAAAACAAACAAAAAATTGCCTTAAGAAATCTCTTAATTCAGGAAGACTTGAGCAGAGCTCACTGAACTAATTGGTGATCTGGAATATTTATTTATGTGTATGTCTGCATGTGCATGTATATGAACTGTATATGTGTGTGTGTGTCTGTGTGTGGCATATACCATGCATTGTGCATGTATATGTGTATATGTAGTGTCTATAGTGTGTGTGTGTGTATGTGTGGTGTAGTGTATGTACATACTGGGGTGTGTATGTGTGCTGTGTATATATGGTATATGTATGTGCTAGTTTGTATAGTCTATGTGTATCTGGGGTGTGTGCATGTGCACATGTGTGCTGTGTGGGGTGTATGTGTGTACTGGGGATATGTCTGTATGTGTGGTATTATGAAGCATGTGTGTGGTGTGTATGTATATGTGGTATGTATACATGGTATGTGTACGTGCATAATGTGCATGACGTATGTGTATTCAGGAGGTATGCACGTGTATTTATGGTATATGTATAGTGTATATGTTTAGCGGTGTGAAGGGAGGGGTGTATTTTGGGACACGGTCTCTTACTGAGCCTGGAACTCATCAGTTGGATAGACTGAGTGATCAGCAAGTTTCCTGGCTTGTCCTGTCTCCACCCTCCTGGCATTGGGGTCACAGACATGTGCCACCTGCCTGGCTGTGAGCATTGGAGCTCTGAACTGGTGTTTTCATGCTTGCATAGCAAGTACTTTATCTACTCAGCCCTCTCCCCAGCCCCACACAGTTGCTGTTGTTGTTTTGAGACATAGTTTCACTCTGTTCTGCAGGCTCACCCGAAACACACTATGTTAGTCCAGGCTGGCCCCACACTCCTGCCAGGTGTTCCACCTCTGTCTCTCATGTGCTAGGTGCTGGCACTGCACTTATGAGTTCACACTTGGCCTGAGTATGTTTTGAAGGTACTGCATGCATCTGGGAACTTAGATGAGTGTTTCTACCTCTTGGCCTCCATCTCTCTGTCCTTGAGGTGGGGATAATATGGCTGGAACAATGGATCTCAGTAGGGCAGGGCGGGTGGTAGCACTTTGTCCCCTGGCATCATACAGCAGTGTCTGAGGACATTTCCATTTGTTAAGGTGCTACTGGCATCTAGTGGGTAGAAGCCAGGGTGTTGCTAAACAGAACAGCCATCTCCAAACAGCAGTGTCAGTACTGCCCAGGTGAGGATGCTGGGCAGGAATGATGATATTTAAGATATGTGCATGTGTGTACAGGCTTGCATATGTGAAGTGACGTACAATATTCATGATATAGCTTGATTATCTAAAGAAGTGCCCATGGATGGACGCTTTTCCAAAAAAAAAAAAAAAAAAAATCTGTGTTTTGTTGTTTCTACTCTAAAAGCCCTAAATAAAAATTTCATTCCAAAGAAGTTTTCATATACTGTTCAGGAAGACTCTGGATACTTCTCTATCATCATCCCTAAATGTCTTATCTGTGCTGTTTTCCCAGCTTTTTGTGACATAGAGTTTCATTCTATGGCATAGGCTGATCCTCCTGCCTCAGTCTCCTGGATGGGTCACTGTCTTACCATTTAGGTATTCTTCCCCTTCTCTCTTTTGTGTAGATCATATAGACGTGGTTGCAATCTAAGCACAGTATCCACAGTCCACGTGGTCAAATTCACCTCCTCTTTTAGATGTAGCAACCCTTGTGTGGGTACTTTCTAATGCATACGCTCAAGTTTACCTATTTAACTAGTTTTGACTTAATTTGGAGTGCTTTATTAGCAAACAGTGTAAGACAAAGTAGCTGGTATAATACAGAGTGATGTTTAAATTAGTTTACAATTTGCTTGGTCTCATCCTGCACTGCACTGAACAAAGCCATTCAGAAATGTCAGCTGTGTTCCTAACCACTGTAACAAATTGTCGCCTGAATGCTGCACACCTAATGACTTCAAATTAGCTTCACCGCGATACCGCCTGACAGTTCGTTACGACTGTTAGCGACATGGCTGGCGTATCATGACCAATAAATTGGTTTCAGTGTGGGCTGGGAAAGGGACTTCCTTCAATTTGATTAAAGAAATCACTGTAGCATTCAAAGCATAAAAACAAACTAGTTTAAGGAGACAGAAATAAGTTAACTGTACCAGAAAAACATTGCTCCTCATTCAAAAACTTGTTTATAAACTATGCAAAAACCAAAGTCCAATGCAATGAAAATTAAATCTAGTAGAATGTTAACATTTTCAAAATGTGTGATCAGATAAATATTTTTGATATCATAAGATGGGCTGAGAAAGAAAATCAATCAAATATTATAAAATGCTAACTTAAAATTAGTGAGAATTTACCATAATAGTTTATCTTTTAGTTTTGTATATAAATTCATAATAAACATCTAACTGAAAACCAGGGCTAAGCTTAGATTTACGAAGAGAAACTCAGTTTAAACACTTATGACACAGAGCAAAATGAAGGATTCTTAAAAGAAAAAAGGCACAACAGACTACTGTGAGAATAACATTTTAAATCGAAAAGACAAACAGTAGAATTATTTCCTCAGGAAAAAAAGCTAAGGATTTTTTTTTCTTTTTCTTTTTCTTTTTTTTTTTTTTTTTGGTCTTTTTGAGATAGGGTCTCCCTGTAGCCCCAGCTGTCCTGGAACTCACTATGTGGACCAGCTAAGGAGTTTAAAAACAAAAAATTAATGGTTTTACAGATTACATTTTCTTTATCTGGTGATGGCAAATAGTGCCTTCATAGATGAAAGGAAAGCTTGACAATAGCTTAAGTTAGTACATACATATAATGCTTATAATTCCACTGAGCTCGATAAGGCTCCCAATGAAATATAAATGAACAACAGGAGATAGTTAAGAAATTACCCCATGAGAAAAATTCGAATTTGCCCCAATTGAGATCTAGAATCCAGAGTCATCTGCAACCTTTTGGTTTCAATTGCTTTTTCAGAAAATTTACCTGGAATATGCTTTGCCCAGCCAATGATAACCACCAACTCTCGGTCAGCCAGGTCACACAGCGTAGTGAGGGCTTTGATGTCACTGTCGGGGACCGTAGGGTCAGGCATGGCATAGATCTTCTCAGGTTCCGCCACCAACAAATGGGAGACAATCTTGTTATCTGCAGGGTCAGACCAGAACAATACAGTACCTTAATCAAAGGAACAACTTTTTTACAAACCCTAAGGTATTTTGTGTTTCCAAAAATAATTTAGGTAGCAAATAAATCCAAAATACTTCATCAAGGATCATTATATGAAGCTTATGCAATGTTCAAGAAAATTTCCAGAAAGAAATAAGCCACTGCCTTCACAGTGGAGAGCATACCCCTTTCTTCTTCGCTTTACCTGTGTTTCCTGGGATAAAGAATCTGTCCTGCAGGGAAAAAAATTTATAGCAGACATAGGAGAAGGTAAATGCTTTCTGAGTTTGCTATTTGAGTCTTAACTGGGAACTGGGGGAAGCAGATTAAATAGCATGCAATGCTTTAAATAAAAACCCATGGAAGAGCACTGAGTTATACACTAATGAACAAAGCAAAGACCCACAGATGCCTGTAGTCTTAATGGGCATAAAAGTCATTAATTGTCTTAATTCCTTTAAAGGAGAGCCAAAGGTCAGAGCCCTTCTGCCTGGGTGAATTACTGACTATGTAACTCCATCTCCTTGGGATGCATTAAGAAGGAACTGCTTTCCTGTCTCCTCTTTCCCACACACCCAGCAACCTTCCAAACACAGCTAATATCTGTTCCATAAAGACTGCCTTGCTCATATGTTACAGTGTATTCGCCTCTGAGCACCTAATTCTTTAATCTTGTATTTCCATCTGCTGTCCTTAGTTCATTCCCTGGTTCAGATTTATCTGTCTGAAATTTGTGATCTATGTTTCAGAGATCGTTCATAAAGTAAACACTAGAGACAAATGGAAAGCATCTCATGGAATGTGTTTCACTGCTCAGGGGCATGCGGGAGTTTATGGAAGGGTTGTAAAGCCTGACTAACAGAATGGTTTTTCTCCTTGGCCTGATTTTCAATTTCTGACTCTAGATGTGACACTTACCTCTAAGTGAAGAATCAGTCTGCATTATTTAAATATACTAGGTTCTGACATTCTAGAAAATCAGGGTTCTAAATGGAGTTTTTGAAAATAGAGCCCAAATTTCACCTGTACTTGCAAGACCGTTTAACATTCACTGTACGTTTTTAACTCCTTTAGCCCCAAATGAGATAATGAAGCAACAGGAAACTAATCAAAGATGTGCCTAGCACATTTTTCTGAAACTATACATGTTTTAATATAATATTTTATTAATTCTCTGGGACTTTCATATAACGCATCTTGATCATATTCAGCCCCCACTTCTCTGCCTAACTTCTTCCAGATCCTCCCCTCAAAATCCTAAGCTCCAGTTTCTTTTTATTAAAAAAGTAACTCAAGAAGTCCAATTTATGCTGACCATACACTCCCTGGGGGGGAGGGGCGGACAACCACTAGAGTGTGGCTACACCCTTAAACAGAACTGACTTTCCCTCTCCCAGAAGCCCCTTAGTCAAAGGTGGGGACTTATCAGCTTCAACCACCACCCCCCCATCCCCGTTAGAATGTTGACTGGCTTATAGTCTTAGGCAGGCAATCCTGAAATTCCTTATTTTAAAATGTGCTTATATGGCCATGAATTATGCTTACTTCGAATATCACCAATCCTTGACATTAACCTCAAACACTTGGGAGGAAATACTTCCAAATACCACACTTTCTAGGAAAGAATAAACTAATAATGCTATGGATGGTTTTATTTTGTTTGTTTGTTTGTTTATTTTTTGTCTTTTTGAGACAGGGTCTCCCTGTAGCCCCAGCTGTCCCGGAACTCACTACATAGACCAGGCTGGCCTTGAACTCACAAAGATCTGTTTGCCTCTGCCTCCCAAGTGCTGGGATTAAAGGCGTGTGCCACCATGCCAAATGCTTTTTTAACTTGTAAGATCTTCAAGGAGTTTTGTCTGTTTATTTTAAATCCCATGGAAAGAGTGTCCTGTATTTTCAGTTATTACGGGAAAAATTTCCAACTTCTATTGTTCTGATGATGCCATAAAACCTGCAGGCAACTCTTAGACTCTCGGGGTTGGAAGAAAATGTATCAGAATGTGCAAAAATGTAACCAACGGAAATCATGATTCTATATTATTTTTTCCACACAGCAGAAAAAAAAAAAGAAAAGAAAAAAGAAAAGAAAAGAAAGAAACCTGTTCTACCAAAGGCCATGGTTACTTCGCTTGAGGGTCAGACTGATTCAGCAGATGCTGGAAATGCCCATCACTCAGTGAGTGGAATAGCCAGCAGCACTGTTTCTAGGTAAATCTTATTTAATGTTTCCCTAATTAGAATCAATAGAACCCAATTTTCATTCTTGGGCCTTTGTAGTACACAAATGATCAGCCAGAGGTGTAGAAATCTCCCCAGCCGGGTTCCCAGCAAAGCCCCTGGTGTCTCCTGAAGCTTATCTGACAGGATCTGAAAATTAAGTTTTATAAATGTTTGTTACAAAAACACACTAATTGGATGGACTAAGGAAAATTAACACAGTGGCCTTGGCCTTTAGATAACGAGCAATGATTCATTAGTGTCCTCTTTATCTCTGACGAATGGAGCTCCTGAAATTGCAATAATCGTCTTAAAGGTACTTGACAAGCCACGTCCCAATTTTTCAGGTTTACACAGAGAAGGAGAGATGCTCCTCCATCGTGTGGACTTAGGAATGGCCTGCCACTCACTTTTTTTTTTTTTTTTCCCATGGAGGTTTTGGTCAATGTGTGCTTAAAATAAATGAGAAATAGGCCATCCTTATATTATTGAATCGAGGAATACTAACTCTCTAATGAAATTAAACATTAGTGTTTATTGCATTTTATTGTATTATCAGAAAGTTTTTAATTATAATGTGCAAAATCTGCTTAATGGACTCTTAGATTGTACCCACAGAATGCCAAACAGCTTACACGGGCTGAGGAAGGGCTGCCAGATTGGACAATTGAAGGTATAATCAACATAATGTTTTTTGGAAAGGCAAAAAGAAACTACGCCATATGTTCATTTAAGCTTTAATTTTATGTAAAATGGGTTGCTTTTCCTTTGACAGAGCTAAAATGTCTTTTCATTTACAGTTCAGGGTCTGCTTTATTTATTTAATGGAGTCCCAGATGCTGGCGTGGATGGTGCCCAGTACTGACTCCTCCTGGAGAATCTGAAATAGAAGTGGACTCTTGTTTTTCCCGGGAAGGCGCATCAAAACCAGACACATCTTCCCTGGAACTGCTGATGGAGTCACTGCCTCTGGTGAGTGTGATGTGTCTTCTGTGACACTGAGAGCTAAATGTGAGCGCTCCTCCACCAAAGCCCTTCTCGCTGCCTCTTCTGAACACCAGGCATAAACGTCTTCAGCACTAGCTCTGCAGCACAGCAGCTATTAACTGATTTCTCAGGAAATGGGATACAGCGATTGCCTCAATTTACACTCTAGCCCTTTTTAGTTAATGACAAAGAGAATGGGGTTTGCATTTGGGCAAGGTACCAGTCTTTCTTTCAAATTGCAACCTGGCATCATAAAACCATGGCTCTTTAAAAACAATTTATAACGCCCATAAGGCACCTGAGATGGAACCACCAACCTATGCTCGTTATTAGAAGAGCCCATTCTTTCTTTAATCTATTGCTAGCTAGTGTGTTAACCTTATATAGCTCCAAATTAATGAGGCCCCTAATGTATTTTCATTGGGAGGTTGAGCAGTCAAACTCATTTAGTTAGGGAAAACTACAAAAGTCACTTTCTTGTGAAATCTCAAAGTAACAGCTCCAATGAACTAATGATCGCAGTATGATCCATTTTATGTACCTCTGCAAATAAAGATAACCAGGAAATGTAAAATTCACACAGTATATGCAGTGCATTAATATGCTTAGGCTTCTACAGCATGACTAGATATAAACAGGGAGAACAGGGGAAAGGCATCGATATCTCTACAAGAAACAAAATACAGAACGTGAGTTGAGTTGACACTGCTCTTCACAGAGGTAGACCTAATGTTCTCCAACAACAAGAAGTCTCCTTGGAGACAGGAGGATGGGCATGCCAACCCTGAAGTGCACTGTGCCAACCCGGAGGACTCTGCGTCTGGGAAGCCAGGCACAGCTGTTGTACTTACATGGCTTTTTGGCTGGCTGCACCAGCTGAGGGTTCAGGTACGGGCTGTTCTCCGCATCTATTCTGCGCTTGTACTTCTGCCGACCTCCACGCACTCTGTCAAGACGCACCCCTGTGGGCAAAGACAGGAAGTGCTTACTGTTTGGGTAGTTACCTCAGAACTAGCAAATACATTTACAGCATCCCCCAGGAGTGCCATCTAGACACCAGAGCTCGGCATGGTCCAGGGCTACAGGAGAAAGGTAAAACAGTGGTGGTTAAAGCAGAGTCATCAGTGTTTGGAAACCATGGCCAGCAGCAGACAGCAGACCTGAAAGACATCCTCTACAGAGCCACCATAGTCATCATGTACGCATGGAGGCAAAGGCAAGACTTACAGTAATACAAGCAAGTTGCTTGCTAGTGCTAGTGTAGTTTCTCAAGCTGTAGACATCGGTATTCTGTACCCTCAACCTCAGCCTTTCCCCAAAGCTCAGCTTGTAGGATTCAGTCAATACAGAGACGAAGAAAAACGCAGTACTCCTCCAGCGACTTGTAGATTGAGTGTGAAAAAGAAGACCTGTGCGTGGGGTGGAGGAGGGGGGTTGTGTGATGGGGAGTGTGGAGGTGGTATTGATGTAAACCAAAGCAGAAGGGATTAACAACACTGAACATTTTCATTTGTAAAGAGAAAGCAGTGGGGAACAGCTTGCTGATAATCTAGCTCTGGCCTCTCTGTGATTGTAGAGTTTAGGGCAGGGCCATAGACATCTATCAAATAGAGAGACAATTAGCAAAGAAAGACTCCTCTGGGTTGCATGGTAACTGATACAGCAGTATAATGTGGTTCATTCAGTTGTCCAACCACACAATGTGTTATACATATTTTGGCATTTCTTAAAGTATTCAGAAAACAGGTTTCAAGAACATCTCACTATTGTGATTTTACTGTTAGGTTTGCCAGAACCATTCATATGCAAATGGACTCAGACTCCAGGAAGGAGATGCATATCACATACGATATTTTACAAGCCAAAGGAAGGCAGCTCAGAATATTTACTAACATGACGTGGAACCTTGAATTGTGGGTTAACTGACTTAGGGGAATTAGCTGGGTAAAGACTGATGTTCCTAAGGTGGGCATTTCACTCAAAATTTAAGGGTAATTAGGGATCCAAGATATTAAAGAAAACATGGTTTTTTATCCCATCTTAATGCTAGTCACGGCACAGCTGATTATATTTGAGTGAGACACACATGCAAGCAAACAATACTAGACAAAGTTTAAATTGTCGTATTGGCACGTCAGCACATAAGCAACATCAGAAGAGAACTTCAAGAGCAACTAAATGGATCTGACAACAAATATTAAAACAGGAAAGTTAGGTACAGCCTCTGAGTATTACTGAGGCCAGGCGTGACGGGGAAACACAGTGACCTTGGCTCAAAAAATGAAACAGGTTGTCTGGTTTGGTGGCAAGCACCTCGGTGGCCCAGGGCTGGTCAATTTCTGACAGTGAAGGTGGTCCAGCAGGAAACACCCACAGTCTAAGGAGATGGCCCATCCAGGAAAGTGCTTATAGCATAAGCACAAGGCTCTGAGTTTGACTGAAGGATGCCATGCAAAAAGCTGGGTGTGGTGGTACAACTGTAACCCAGTGCCTGGAGGAGAGACAGGACGATCTCAGGGATTCATTGGCCAGCCAGCCCAACCACAACAGAGAGCTCTGGGCTAAGTAAGAGAGCTTGTCTCATAAACTAAGGTAGAGGCAGGACAGTGATGGCTCAGCAGTTAAGAGCAGCAGCTGCTCTTGCACAGGACTTGGGTTTGGTTCGCAGCACCCACATGACTACTAACAATAGTCAGTAACTCTAGTTCCAGGAGATTTGACGCCCTCTTCTGGCCTCCAAGGCATTGCACTCACGGGTGTGTTAAAATACATGAAAGCAAAACACTCAAACACATAAAATAGAAGTATATAAATAAATTTAAAAACTAGGGTGGAGAGTGACTGAAAAAGGACATCTAACATTGGCCCCTGGCCTCCACACATACATATACATACGTGCACACACATACATACACACAAACACATGCATACACATACACCACACACAGGGACTTGGTTTTCCTGTGCTATAACCGGGTGTCTACTATTTCCATATGGACCTTGAATCAAGTCACTCAGCCACAGTCTCCCTGTGTAGGCACTTCTGTCATGTATGTGTAGTGTGTATATGTATGTTTTGTGTGTTGAGGGGGTATCTTAGCCAAAATGACAATGTCTGTGGAAAAATGCAGTAATGAAAATCTGTTAGTGTGCATATGCAAACATCCATTTTTTATGACATTGTACGGACAGATCCATCTTACATTTGAAGAGTCAAACTTTCTAAATAGTATGAAATAATCACCAAGACGGCATCTTTTTTCAACCTTGGAAACTGACTTGCAGAAATATTCCTATTGCTCTGACTGTGCCCCACAGGAATCTCTCATGTTTTGCGCTCCCTTCCCTGCCAGTTGGGTAGATCAGTAACTACCTATCCACCCACCACATCTTCATCTCCCCTATCCTGTTACCCATTCACCCCACACACACATCCATCCAGTTTCTAAACAGTCAGGAGCTTTCCATATACACCATGATTTTGCATTTTATTCACTAAAATAAAAATCAATTGGACAAAACATTCTTTTATGGCTTGTAATTTTATTTATATGATGGCAGGAAAAAAGACTAGATATTGATACACGTAAAACATGAAATTAATAATCCCATAGTAAAACTTGACAGAGACTCAATATGCAGAGAATATTCCGGCAAGTTTGAATGGCAATTAATAGAAAAAATTTCTGGAGTCGATAGATTTTAAAAGATCATAATAACAATATATATATATATATGAAGATTTCATTCCCTGTCAAAAGTAAGTATTGAAATTTTCAAATATTTCAAAGTAAAAAATATGTACCACTGCTTTCAATTTAGTTTCCATATCTGGAAAAATCTTTCCTTTATTTTCCATCTTTAGGGTTGATAACTATGTATGATTATTTACTACAGCCAACTACAATCTTGGAAAAAGCTTTAAACAAAAATCCTCCTAATACACAGTTGAAAATACTCCAAAGTCACATTATATCATTCGTCCATCTATTTCTTTACACTGGAGCAAAAATATCACCAAAGAAAAACAGCTCCTCTCCCTCCTGGATTCTGTTATAAATATATTTAGGCTTTAGTGACATAGTCTTAAGCAGAAGCTGGAGAGAAGGCTCAGCAGTTAAGAGCACTGGCTGCTCCTGCAGAGGACCTGCGCTCAGTTCCCTGCACACACGTGGCAGCTAACAACCACCTCTAACTCCAGTTCCAGGGGATCTGATGTCCTCTTCTGACCTCCACAGGCATTGCAAGACATGGGTACACTTACATACATGTAGGTAATACATTCATTCATACACATAAAATGTATTTTTTAAGTTAAGTCAGTCCCAAGTAGGTCTCTAAACATGTGGAAACAGTTTCTTTTTTTTCTGATTTATTGACATTAGACAGGCTTCTTCATAAGAGTGACAAAATATTCACTTATATTTTTGTTCATTTGCTTTTTTTGAGACATGGTCTCAATCTGTAGCCCCAAGATAAAAACCAAGGCAAGTTCCCATCTCAACCACAATAAATAAATGAAATGCTTTCCTTAAGTTCAGTTATAATTATACAATATGAAGTACAGAATTCATAATTTTTCAGTTAACCCTCTGCATATAAAAGGGTCAAAACCAGTTTAGCAAAAATAAACAATAATGCTATTTATGATCAGGACCTGGTAGAGTCAGCTTGGTTAGAATGAAACATTAATCTAATTCAAATATTTCCACCAAAGGTAACAAAGCCTGTCTTTCACACTTTTGCAATCTTAAATAAACAAATTCTGCTTCGATTTTACTTGTAAAGCACTTTTCAAAAAGTTTAAGCATGAGATATTTTTCCCTTAGAAAACAAGGCATCTGTGCTGTACAATGTTTGACATGCTTTGAAGTTAATTAAGGCAACAGATTTTCTCCTCATGTGGAGATTGCTTTATCTTTAAAAAATAAGAAAATAAGGGGCTGTAGGGATGGCTCAGCAGTTAAGAGCACTGACTGCTCCTGCAGAGGACCCGGGTTCGATTCCCAGCACCCCATGGTGGCTACGAACTGTCCTTAACTCCAGTTGCAGGGGAATCCAAAGCCCTCTTCTGACCTCCACAGCATTGCACAACACGGGTGCACTCACATACATGGAGGCGATACACTCATACATATAAACTAACAAATAAAATATTTTAAAAAATAAATAAGAAAATAAAAGATTTTACTGATCGGCATCACCTACCCACCCGCACCTTTCACAGCGCTTCCTCGGGTGCTGCCTGAGCCTGTCACAAGGGAACCGCAAAGCTCATCCATTGCACAAATTTACAAAATTGAGGAGGCGAGAGCAGGTGGAAGAGGAAAAGCAATGCTGTGAGAAACACACGCCAGGAGAGCTAAGGGAGGCCAGAAAGGTCTTCCTAGGTCAGCTCATTTCAAGCCAGCATTTTATGCTCAAATGCAGATTTTTATAATATTATGTAGTCCACAGTCCAAAGCAATTTCTCACAATTTTATTAGTGCAAAGTCAGAGGGATTTCATACATATACATAAATATCCACACACACATTTATATATATATATATGTATATATGCATGTGTGTGTATATCTCCCCTTCAAGAAGTAGAATAAAGGTGTCCTTGCTACATTTAGTATGTTGTTCCCAAGAAAAGTTTACTAATGGTAAGACCCCTGGAAGATTTCAGAAAAAAGCAAATAGTCCCATTAATGTAGGAAGAACTTGGAAATGATAGCTCATGAATGCTACACGACCAGCTGTGTTCGGTAAATGTTATTTACCACAGACAGTGTAGTCAGGGGAGAGCCTTAGAAAACACAAACTTCAGACACCACACAGTTGCATGCCTGGACCTCTCCCTGACACCCAGTTCTGCTTTGCTTTCTGCCTAACAGCACCCCACTTCTTCACTGTGGGAAGGCCCTATGTGACAATACCCTGGAAGCCACCTGCTGGAGATTTGGGGTTGGGGGCAG